GCGGTCCTGCTGTGAAGGCACTGCTGCCGCCCATGCTTGGCAAAGGTGTCATATTTTCAAGAAGAAAGCCATTTGCTCAATTAGGAGATTGCTGATGGTACCTCAAGGCTGCTTGCTTGACTGACCTTTTGCTTGTTTTTTGGAGACGCAGTTTCACTATCCAGCCCAAGTTGGCCTGGAATTTAGCTCAGGATAAATGCATGCTTTATTTTGAAATTTTACTTATTTGCAAGAATGAATTTTTCCCCATATGTATAATTTTGGGGCAAAGGGATTTGCTCATTTAATTGTTTAAAACCCCTCTGCACATCACCTTTACAATGAAATTAAATTACAAAAATGTCTAAGAGTCTTAAATTGACCAGGGATTGATTTTGGTGTATGGCTATCAAAAATCACTAATCCTTTATAGATATTGGCTTAATTGGTGCATTAAGGAGGGAAAAAAAGAGCCCTATTTTGTGATCCTGGGATCTAGTATGGCATTTTATAGTAAGCATAAGGTAGGTCTACAAGGGTTATTTAGGTTAATCCTCTTACCCAATAACTGAAATAGAGTGAGAAATAGTCTGGTGGTATGAAGACAGAAAGCAGCCTTTGGGTTAAAGATCAATGTCTGGGCCTGGTTTCCATGCTGAGCAGCTGTGTGACCTTGCTAAGGACAATCCCTCTGAGCTCCAGCTTCCACAGCACAAACACAGGCTGTGAGGTAGGGGGATGGCCCAGCTTTGAAGTGCCTGGCACAAGGTCTGGTGAAGAGCTCAAGCTCAGCAAACAGAGGACGCTATGGCAGTCAAACAGAGCAGGGGGAAGGACTCACATATATTTATCATAGATGAGTAAAATGCTTGCCATCTGTGTGAGAGAGCAGTGTGTGTGTGTGTGTGTGTGTGTGTGTGTGTGTCTGTGTGTGTGTGTGTGTGTGTCTGTGTGTCTGTGTGTGTGTGTCTGTGTGCTGAGACTGTTTTTGAGAATCAATGAAACTTTGCAGATCTTTGCAGAAAGAAATCTATTAAAGTACAAAGTACTACTGTTTCCAACCCATTAAAATGTTATCTGCTTAATTCCTCTTTCAACAATAGGTAATGAACCTTCTCTGAATTAAAATCTTTGATTTTATGGATCTACATCAAGCTAAGAGTAATTACAGTAATGAGGTAAGCTGAAATTCAGTAGCACACTGCAGGCAGGGCCTCATTACAATTATTTTAAAAAAAGACTATTTAACATTATTTCACTGTTTAGGCAAGGATATTTGCTTTATTTTTATATATGCTATTACTTAATAAAGGTTACTAAAGATATCAACCACAGGCCGGGCATGATGGTGCATTCCTGCGATCCCAGCTGCTCCTCTCCGCTTCTGCCTGCCGTGGGCTATGCAGCTATAGCTGCAGGGTCCCTCCACGATGCTCTGTATCACCACAGCCCCAGACACAATGGAGCCAAGAGACTATAGACTAAACCCTCAGAAATCATAAGTCAAAATGAATTTTTCTTCCTTCTGTTTCTCTTGGGTATTTTGTCACAGCAACAAGAAAATGACTAACACAGTATGACTTCCAGTGTTAAATCCCATTGCTTCCTAGCTGTGTGAGCTATTTCTAACTCCATGGAGGGTGGAAGGCAGGGTACTCCCTGGAATGTGGGGTGGGAGAGATGCACTGCACAGTAAGGTACCCTGAGGAAGAGAGAAGGCAGCAATGGGGAATGGAAGCTACCGCACATCTGGAGTTACAAAACAGGAACATTTCCCGTGTACAAAAGCTATCATAAATATGCTGCTGCTGACTTTAATCAAATGAGCCAACCAAGAAAGTCCATCTGAGTATAACATCTTCTAGAGATGAGATCCAAACACACCAGCAGGGGTAACCTTCTTGGAGACACTACGTCTTTGCAGGTGAGTTCTCAACCTCATGGAAACTGTAGGGTGTGGACCTCACAGGGATTTGTGCAATATCATCTGAAGGATGGACTTTGCCATTCTGGCGCAGAGAATGGGCCATCTGCAAAAGGTTACAAGCAGCCACCAGAGACATGCTGTCTGAGCACAGCTTAGTGGAAGTCAGTGCTGCCACTCGAGGCAAACCCTGCACAGCCTCCGGCATCACCCTTGTCACTGCTAACACCCACACTGCTGTCAGCACCTGATAATGACCAGTGAAACCATAATGCTGTGGTGCTTTTCCACTAGCAGCTGCATTCTGAGCAGACCTGATTACTATCGGGGACCCCTCTGCCAGGTGTTATTCTTTTAATGTCAACAGGAATTCCCATCAATGGCCAATAAGTAGAAAGGTATGGATGAACTCTAGCCCCTTATGGATGGAGGGAACACTGAAATGAAAAACAAAACAAACAAAAAGCAAAGTTTTCTATTTTTCACTTCGTTACCAAATATGATTTGAAAACAGCCAGGAGTCCTGCAAAAATGCCCACTGACACTCTCCTCTGAGAAGTCCAACATGACTCTGTGACTTTTCCCATCACTGACAGAAGGCTTGACAGAAACAACTCAAGAGAGAAAAGATTTATTTTGCTAATGGGTTTCAAAGTTTCAGGCTATGATAGCAAGGAAGGAATGGCAGTGCCACTCTAAAGGGTGGAAAGGAAGCAGAAAGGAGCAGTAGGAAGGAGTTAATATAAGATATACAGACCCTTCCCCGTCCTGGGGCTGGGAATATGGCTTAATGGTAGAGTGCTTCCCTAGCATGCATGAAGCCCTGCATTTGATTCCTTGGTATCACAGAAAGAGAAGCTTTTTCTGGCTCAAGTGGTAGAGTACTAGCCTTGAGCACAGAGAAGTTCAGGGACAGTGTGCCCGGGCCCTGAGTTCAAGCTCCAGGACTAGCCAAAAAAGAAAAAGATACAGTCCCCAAACACACATCACTAGTGATCTCCAACCACAGCCCACTCTCCACAGCTCAACGACCTTCCAATAGTCTGTTTACAATTGAATCCATCAATGGATTAAGCCATTCATTAGGTCAGGGCCCTCATGATCTGTCTCTAGAACACACTCACACACATATACACACAGACACACATATACACATACCTAGATATGCTTTCCTAATCTCCTACACATTCTCAATCCAATCAAGTTGACAAGCAAATCTAACATCACAATGACTCATTACTGCAGCTGGGAGTCCATGATAAGGTACAATCAAATTTCATGTCTACAGCACACTTGAAATGACAAGTTGTGAGATGAAGAACAGATTAGCACTTTTGTAAAGGGCTTGCGGGGAGGCAGGCAGGTGAAGGTAACTCAGCCTATAAAGCACAGAATGAGAATATTCTCGTGATGAACTGTTGTGGAACGTGACTGTAGCCTTACACATAGCAATCTATGTGAAACAATATCACAGAGAACTGTACACAGAAACACACACATACATACAACAGTGTGCAGAGAATTGACAAAATCCAAAAATTTTAACCGTTTTATCCTGGTGAAAATAAACTAAACCTAACTTTGTGAGACTTTTACCCCATCAGAGGAGGTTGGTAAAAGCGTGAGTTCTCACAGTACAACTGAATGTGAATTCAAAATTGTCTTAAAATGAAAAGCCAATAAATGCTAAAATATGGAAAACTCTAACTTTAGCTCATTGGAGAATGCAAAAGCGTAAGGCTACTCAGCCTTTTACTATCTAAACACTTGCTAAGCGTTCAGATAGGCTAGCTTAATATGTTACAGCTGTCTCATACTGAGTTCCTAAAGTAAGGGTCTCAATGGCAGGTGGGGCATCTAATTTATATCAGTGACTCTGATTTTTGCACCTGATGGAGCAACAAGGTTTGACGCTATTATGCCAACCTTGAGCATCCTTCCCATAGCTGGCAGAGCCATGAGGACACCAGTGTCAGGACCACAGAGCACATGTTCAGATATCAATCCTATGGAGGTCTACTCGTCCTGCCTAACACTGCTTGTGTACTGCGGCGTTCTCATTTACATTCCTTACTTCAATAGCCAGCATAGGGGGCAGGGAGAGAGTATTGTGAAGATAGAAGGTTGGCCAGTAGTTCAAGATCTCTGTTCTAGTTGCAGTTCTGACAGGTGCATTTGAGAGAAACAATCTTTAAAATGAAAACGGATGCATTCACCTATGGAATCACAATCAGGAGTGCATCAGGAGAGCTCCACGCAGGATGGAGAGGGTTAGACCATGTAAAATACATCACTGTTTTGTTCTCTAAGAGGCTCCAGAGAGCGCCAGAACAGAGTCTAACACAGATGTGGCAGAAGGCAGGCAAAAATGCATTGAAGGTAGCCCAATTTTCTCCAGCTTGTTCTCCCTTCCTGATTACTTGGATTTACAAGAGAAAAAAAAACTGAATAAGAAATAAACTCACTATAATGATCAATTTCACATGCAGTCTCAAAGTCACACAATTGTTACTTTTGCACAGATAATCAAGGAGCAACCAAGCAATGAGTCCCCTCAGTACTTGGGTCCAGCATTCCCAGGGGAACCCCCAGGGCCAATTATTAGTGATAACAGAGAGACTCCAAACCTCTGCAGACACTTTTGTCTCAAAAATACAGGTAAGTGACTGAAGGCAGCAGTTTTCTCATTTTATTCGTAATGTCTATGTCCAGATCAGTTACATTCTAACTTTCTGTCATCACCGACAACAACCATTTTTTACCTTTTTTAGCAGCTACCCCCAGGTTTACATCCCAGGACAAAGCACCTGTCGGGTCCCAGGAGCTCCCTAGACTCAAAGCCAAGAAGACTGATCCATGAGACTTATATGCTGCTTCTTTGGAAAAACCATTTTGTTACATCTATGAGTCTGGCTCATGAAGGGTGGAGTAAATGTCTGTAAAACCATCCACGATGCATGTACAGTTCCAACATAACAGAGATAGCTACTGTGCTCAGAGAAGACTGAACATAAAGCAATTAGTCATCATTATTTTTTATGAGACTAATAGTGCTAAGCCATTTCTCCGAGGCAAGGTGGAATCTCAGTTGGCCTACCTCAGTGACAGTTGAGATCTGCTGCAGGGCCACAGCATGCAGGCTCTCATCTTGGCTTTCCAGGAGGAGCTTCAGGGAGGGGAGCAGGAGGGACTGGCGAAGCAGCAGCAGACTCAGCTCCTTCACACTCTGAAACCACAGAGGCACCAGGTGAGCGGACTCGGAAGCATGTCTCATCTCTGAAGCATCTTTCTACCCTTTTACTAGGAATGAGTGTGTATGTGCACACATGTGCATAAAGCACACTCGGTGCCATAAGGAAATACAGTCTGGTATCCATGTCCCTTGCTTCAAGGCAAACAGAGTATCTCTCCAAGCTGTCAGCTGCTCACACGCACTACTTCTAGTGGCTGGATCGTACCGCTGTGTGCATCCGTGCTCATTTATTTTCTCTGGCTCTCACACTAGCTTGCCTACAAGCAAAATGTGTGAGGAGGGTCCCTGTCTACATCTGCTTTGCAATGTTTGAGGTGTGTGTGTGTGTGTGTGTGTGTGTGTGTGTGTATGTGTGTTTGTGTTTGCATTAATGTCAATGAATACAATGTGCAACACTGAGCATATGTTAAGGGCTTCAGAATAGTAGCTGTTTTCACTTGCTAATGTTATTAATACCTAATTATAACGCACTAAAAGAAAGTAAATTAAGAAATAATCATGCAAAACCTCTTTATGATTCTACTGTCAAAGTGAGTTGAATCCCTGATATATCCAAGATATTCTTTTTCTTCTTCAGTTTTCTTTCATTTTTGAAGTACTGAGGTTGGAACTCAGGACTTGTGCTTGCTAGCCAGGTGTGCTACCACTTGACACACAAGATAGTCTGTCTTCATGTAAACTATTTGTGGTACAGAAAAATTAAAAGTTATGGATTCCTATAGGTGTGCCTGAATTTTATTCTCAGCTTTTTTATTATACTAGGTTAGCATTTCACGAGAGAACAGGATTTAAAACAAGGTAACATATGGTAATTTTATATAACAAAAGAAATAAAAGTATAATGCATACAACAAAGGCATAAAAGAATAATAATAAAAAAAACCCTGCAAGCTGTTTTGCCCTACTGAGCTCACTGGTTGGACGTCCTGACTTTGGATGACACCAAGAACAGAATGCTTGGACTGAAGAGCAGATAATGAAGGCAGCCCCATTTAGAGAAGCAGAAAGCAGGGGTTGTTTTGAAGAAAAGGATGGGGAGGCTCACGGCCCTCCAGGGGACTGATCTCGCCGTGCTGCTCCACAGCAGCAGATCAGAGAAGAAAAATCCAAATAGATGGTATTTTCAAAATTCCTTTACATTATAAAGCAGAGATAAATTGAGGCTGACACAAAGAAGCTCCATTTAAAGCCTAGGACAAAGGCCTCATTGCAATTCCGTGCATTGTAGTTCTCTCATCTCCACACAGCATGTCTGTCCTGGAGATCAGCAAGGCCTTCAAGTTTCGCAGTGCAAGGCTGTATTCTGCAAAGTGTTTTGTGGAAATACATACAGCAAGCAGTCTGGATTCTAATCAGGCAAGCATGGTGTGCCTTCGAGAACATGCCTGCACAGATGTCTCTCCAAACACCTGGGCCAAGGAGAAATACTGGACTTTCAGCTGGAAAGACCAGAGCTGCAGAAAGCATGTGGATGAAAGAAGCATAAATGGGGAACGTAACCCTGTGGCCTGGCTACCATGCCCTGACGTGATGCCTGTTACCCTCCCCCCCTCCTTACATCCCCCAGCACTCTGGGCTCCCTGCCTGCACAGCCACAGAGAGCATCGCCCAGGGGCCTTTCTACATGGCAGAAGCATCCTGAATCAGCACTGTCCCATGCAGTGGCCACAAGCCACAACCCACAGTACAGGTGTGGCTAGTGTTCCTAGGGAACTGCACTTTGAATTTTGCTTTTGGGTTTTTGTTTTTTGTTTTTTTGGTGCCATCCTGGGGCTTGAATTTAGGGGCTGGGTATTATCTCTGAAGGTTTTTTGCACAAAGATTGTGCTCTACCACATGAGCCACAGCTACACTTTGTGACTTTTTGGCAGTAACTGGAGATAAGAGTCTCATAGACTTTCCTGCCCAGTCTGGCTTCTAATCACTTCAGATCTCAGCCTTCTGAGTAACTAGGATTATAGGCATGAGCCACCGGTGCCTGACCTAATTTTACTTAAGTTTAACTTTAATAGTCACATGTGGCCTGGGGCTCCCATAACGGAGGGCAATTGCTAGATGCCAAACCCGCACAGGGGGTCATCTCTGCCCTTTCTCTTTAAAAAGTCACTGAAGACTCCACCTCCTCTGGGAACATACCTCGATTTCCCCAGTTCTCACTATATTTTGCAAATATTTCCTATTTATGTCTTTTGTGCAGAGAAACTACAAGTATCCATCCCGTTGAGAGCCAACATGTTCTCATTCCTCATATTCCCAAGTTAGGTGGCGCATGCTATGCTCAAGGAAACAAACGTATATAATTCCCTTTCCTCATGGTCATACCTGCTTATGCAATGAGTCAGTAGTGATCGGTAAAGAAGTTCTCAGCAATTTATGATGCTTACACCAAGCACAATAGTTGGCTGATACGTTTAATGACAATTTAATGATAATTTAAGGATAAATTTTATGAAATAACTTGCCTACCCTTCTGAAGACTCATAATGGGTAGGTGGCACAGAGCCAGGCCAGGATACCTAAGAGTTCCATTGATGTGCACCTCTGAGTAGTTCCTGCCTCTTAGCTAACAGCTCTCAGCCCCTGCCTTGGCTCGTCCTTCATATCCCATCCCTTGCAGTTATTTGGTTTGATTTTGTATTTTGTTTTGATTCTTTTTTTTTTTTTTGAGACAATCAGGGAAGCAAAACCACACACACCCCTCCAAGATGGTCACAAGGTGCGGGGGATGCAGGGCCCAAAGGGTTTGTCACAAGCACCATAGGCCCTGGACCAGGCTGAGTTCTTTCCACTGCAGCCCTTGCCCACTTAGGGTCCTGACCCACCACACTGCTGGCCATGAACTGCACCCTTGCCTCTCGGGTCACGATGGACTTGGCGCCTGATCTTTCTCGGTCTATGGTCTTCACCCACAGAGGTAGCTATTCCAACTGAACTCCCAACTGCTCGCTAGACGGCCTCCATGCACCACCACCCTGAGTTGTCCCCACAAATCCTTTAAGGAAGGGACTATTTTAGCCCCACTAATGAGATGAGGAAAGTAGGTATAGAAAAGGGTGAAAGACCTGAATCACAATCTCATCTGATTCTAAAACTCAGGCTCCAGCCATTCTAGAAAGTGACTCAAGCACAAGGTAGAGTATTCACATTTGAGATTCAGGAGCTGAGGGTTAGGCAGCTCACTTAGTAGTGGGGTGACTCACTCCCACACAATAGTTTATAGCATCTGAGACTCTAATTCATGCCGTGGCTCAGTAAAAGCTTGGACCTTCAGGGACAGTCACAAATAGCTGGAACTTGGCATCCTACATGTGTGAATGCCAACAACCCATGTGATGTCAGTGTCTTTTCCTACACATCTCCACTCTTGAGAAGGATTCCTATATTGCTATGGATACAAACTGAGAAGAAAAATCTAGAACTTTAAAGATTATGGGACACATGACCAGTGAAAACCAGTGGTTTTATCTTGTAATAACTCTCCCAAGGAAAAACATCATGGCCCCAACGCAGCAGGTGTCATGCGCACGAGCAGGCAGCGGCAGAAGGCATTGTGAAGAATGACAAGGACAGCAGTGTGAATGTGGGAGCTGGGCAGGGATGGGGAATGGGATGATGGGAAAGGGTGAGTCCAGCCAAGAGCTCAGTCAGAGCAGAGCTACCAAAGACATTAGCCTGAAATAGAAGCCAGCCATGGGGATTTTTACCACCCCAGTCCTATCAAATACTATGAACTCTGAAATTAAGCTACATAACTTCTGAATGTGGTAAAATAAAAGGATATTTCCACCTTCTAGTAGTGTTCCTTCCTTTGTAATACTTTTAGTGGCTGTTTGAGCTTAATCAGCCATCAATTAAAATAGTATGCACCATTTTCAAACTTCCACTAATGAAAGCATTTAATATCTATCTCTGTGCCCAATTAAGAAAATAAACTGAGGTAGCATAAAGAAAATGAAGAAAAGTCACAGTGCCAACAGAACTTGAGTTAATCTTTTATTAGGTAAAGTAGAACAGAGACCTGTTCCTCTCTCCATCCCAGGAGAATCCCAGAGCCTAGGAGCTACTACTGTGGATGAAGCAGCACACAGGTAATCTCAGGTAAGCCTCCTTCTGGGTTAGAGTCATAGGTGAGGAAATAGCTCACACCAGTGGATCATCCAATGCAGCCCAAATCACACTCATTAGTGAAAGCAGAAAGTATTTTTAATGTTGGCATTTAGAATGTTTTATAAAATTATTTTGCTGGTCTGGTGGTTGGAAGGCTTCTTTAAATGAGTAAAATATTTTAAAGTTTAATAATAATAATAAAACAGAAAAACACTTATCTAGCTGGGCACTGGTGGCTCATACCTATAATTCTACCAACTCAGGAGGCTAAGATCTGAGGATCATGGTTCAAAGGCAGCCCAGGCAATTAACCAGCAAAAAGCTAGAAGCAGAGAAGCAGTAGAGTGTCACCCTTAAGTGAAAAAGCCAAGAGAGAGTGTGAGGTTCTGAATTCAAGTCCCAGTACTAGTACCAGATGCATATATCTTACCTAGTCCTTATTCAAAAACTAATTCATTAATTGTGTATTCACAGTAAGAAGTTTCCTTGGATGAGTACAAGGAAAATTCAAAGGATCATATTTACAGTTTTTTAAAATTTATCTATTATCAAGTGAAAATTTAAAACCAATTAATTTACTATCATCATGGAAATGCTCACATTTCAGACATAAATTGTTCAATTTACTGCTGGGGGAAGATCCAGAGCAGGGGCTGTAATTAATAGCATGTACAAAATGTTTGCACACAGACCCATGCGGATAAGTACCTCTGAGACAGTCAGATCATGGGATCAGACCGAGAACAAACGTCAAATCAGAGGTGGTTGAGTTTTTACCCTATGTTGCAGAAGATATAGTAGTTATGTAGTCTCTTGACAATGGGGTCAAGGAAGTATGTTTAAATCGGATCTGGGTGGAGAGACGGCTAAGGCTTATGTATTCCTTTACTACTAGCCTAGTTCAGACAGATAACACAGGGCTATTCTGAGCCCCTGGGACAGCAGCTGGATTTGATATACAAAGGCACCCAGGGGAAAAAGTGTTTTCTGCTCTGGAATTTGTAGAAGGAATACTGAGCTCTGACAAAGAAAACTTCTTCAGAGCATCCTTCCTCTATTGTTCTTCACCTGATATGCTCCACATGGTGGGCCTTACCGGGGATGGCTTAGGCTAAGTGTTCCTGCAGTAGTCACAGGCTTGCTTAGAATGAAGCATTCTGAGAAGAAAGCCGAGCACCCCGCGGAGACTTACCTCTGCAGGCAGCATCTGCCTGGTGTCGTACAAGGAGCGGCACATTTTTAACACCTCATTCCCCAGCTCCTTCCTGTTCTCCACTGTACATCTGGTCAGCATCACAGTGGCTAGCCTTACCCATGGATTACTGCTGGTGCTGCTTCTAATGGAGACAGACACAAAGCATTGGAAATGAATAAAACTCTTATCACTGTGATGAGGACTTACTGAACAGAGCCGAAGGCCCCCTCTCCCTCGCCCCCAGTCTGCAGAGGCTGGCCACTGAGCTGCACCTTGGTGGGGACGGATATAGTGGGCTTGTTCCTTTCCCTTTCACAGGGCTGCTCAGGCTCTAACAACAGACAAGTGAAGGGCAGATTTCCTCCACTGCCTCAGGAGTAGGGGAACAGTTATTCACTAAACATTTTACCACTCAGTCTGATGCTGCCTTACAGCTGTAGATTTTACACACTGAACAACTATGATGTTCCTTCCCCTGAGAGAATTCTCTGCCTTGTCCCTTGAAGTCACTTGTGAGTGTAATAATGACAAAGGCACTAACAACACTGCCAAAGCCTTAGGCAAAGCCTGCTGGGTCAGCTCAGAGGACAGCATATTGCCAGGGCAGTGGGCCAGGATCTGCTTCCACTCCAGCCCGCACCTCTGTTCTCCTGGCTTTCTCTGGGCTGTGTCACCATTGTGGAAACAGTAGTCTGTCAGTGGTGACCCCGTCTTGACAGCACAACAATGTAGCTTTGACAACAAATTATCCCAACAGATTTTTACCAGTCCGCTGGGACACACTGCATGCGAACTATGAATCTTCCAGAAGTTACAAGTCTATTGTACTTTTCATGTATATTCGTATAAGGGAGTAAACCCAGACACCAGAGATCACTCAGGCTCAATATCCCGAATCTAAAGATCTGAAATTCCAAATGCTCCAAAGTGTGAAACTTTTTGAAAGCTGAATGATGTCATATCAGACCCTGGGTGACAGGTCATAAGCCAAGTGCAGGTGCACTAAAATATTCTATAAAATTACCTTCGGGTGGCACATAGAGTACAGATGACACCCAAATAAATTTCATTTAGACTTGGGTCCCATCCCCAACATATCACATGATGTACAATGCAAATATTCCAAAAGCCAAACTTGAAAAACACTTTTGGTTCCAAACACTTGAACAAAGGAATTCACACCTTGTCCTGGTCAGCTAGCCATGAGGTAGCTCAAGCAAATCTTTAAACTGACTGTACTGACCATCTCACACCTTCCTTCTCTTCCCTTCTCTTCTTTTAATATTTTGGCTAGTTTGGAGGTACTACAATCATTCATTGGCTAGTCTAGGAAAAAAAACCTGCTCAAAAGTAATTCTGAGAATCCATTTTAAAGGAGTCTCTGTGGGGAAAGCAATGTGAGCCAGAAAATCAAAAACAAGGGCAAGATTGGCTCCAACTTATTCTCCTGCTGTCCCTCAGGAAGAGGAGCCAGGCTGCCCAGAGCCCATGCAGACTGCTGGACATGTGACCTGACTATGATTAAAAAAAAAAAAAACAAGGACTTTCATCACACACAGGTTAGCAATCTACAAGTTTCATTTTGTAAGTGAATATAAAAGTAAGACAATACCTATACAATTTGTCTATAAATGAATTCAATGTTTTACATGTAATAAATGTTTTCAGTGAAATGGATTTGGTCCAGGGGAGGGGAGAGCGGGAGGAAGGAGGGGGCGAGGGAAGAATAACTTTAGTCACTGCTCTAAAAGTAAAGAAAGAGAATAAAACTAGAGTTAACAAATCTACCCCAAATACTCTCTATGGAATAATGAAACAAAAGAGGCTATAGGGCTGGCTGGTGCCTGTCATCTTAGCTACTCTGGAGGCTGAGATATGAGGATTGTGGTTCCAAGCCAATCAGGACAGGAAAGTCCATAAGACTCTTATCTTCCAGAAAAGCCTGGAAGTGGAGCTGTAGCTCACGTAGTAGAGCTCTAGCTTTGAGAAAAAAACACAAAAAACCCTCAGGGCCACTGAAACTGAAGGTTCCAAAAGGGACATGTCTGCACTGCAGTTTAAATGCTGCAAGCACAGTAGCCTCCTTGGAATCCGAGCCACTGACAGGTAGAGACAGGAGAAGGAAGTTCAAGGCCAGCCCAAGCAAAACTAGCAAGACCCTGTCTCAAAAAATACACACAGGGGCTGGGAAGGTGGCGCAGTGGTAGAGCGCTTGCCTTGCATGCCTGAGGCCCTGGTTCGATTCCTCAGCACCACATAAGCAGAAAAAGAAAAAAGCTAGAAGTGGCACTGTGGCTCAAGTGGTAGAGTGCTAGCCTTGAGCTGAAGAGCTGAGGGACAGCACCCAGGCCCAGAGTTCAGGCCCCACGAACACACACACACACACACACACACACACCCAAAAGGGCTGGAACACACACACACACACACACACACACACACCCAAAAGGGCTGGAACACACACACACACACACCCAAAAGGGCTGGAACACACACACACACACACACACACACACACCCAAAAGGGCTGGGCTGGTGGCATGTCTCAAGTGGCAAAACTTTTGCCTAGCAGGCTCAAAGCCCTGGGTTCAATCCCCAGGACTGCAAAAATCAAATAGTTCAGCTAGGATTCTGTTCTTAAAAATTCACAAGGCAAGCCAGGTGCCAGTGGCTGAGACCTAGAATCCTAGCTACTCAGGAGGTTGAGACCTGAGGATCTCAATTCCATGCCAGCCTAGGCAGGAGACTCCGAGAGACTCTTATCTCTAATTAGCCACCAGAAAACCAGACGTGGCACTGTGGCTCAAAGTGGTAGTCCATTTTGGGTGCTAGCCCTGAACAAAAAGAAGCTCAGGGACAATAGCCAGGCCCTGGGTTCAAACCCCATGACCAAAAAAAAAAAAGCAAGGCAAAAGGCCATCTCTGCCACAAGTAAAAGAGATGTAAGAAACTTTTTTCTTTTTCTTTTCTTCTCTTTCTTTTTGTAATGGGGCTTGACATGTGTCAATTGCACAGTGTCATGTGATTCCAGTAAGTGGGATTGTTCATTTCTTCTATATTGATTCACAAGGAATTTCTTAGTGAAAATACTGGATCAAAATTGTTGTGATGAAACCATAAATCAGATGTGACTCTCCAGCAAACATTCTGAAGAAAATATTCGAGTTTAGGGACAAGGAGAATTGGAAAGACATTGCAGTATTTCAAAACATTTATAATTTCCTCAATACTAATTACATATATGGATATATATACATATATGTATATGATTATTTCCTATATATACACATATATAGCTATGTAGTATATACACATATGTATACTCACACATACACACCGCACACACACACATATGGATATATATAGTAGTACTGTTGTACTGGAGTCTGAACTCAGGAAGGTGTTCTATCACTTGACTCATATCGCCAGCCTGTTTTGGCTTTATTTTTCAGAGAATGTTCTTATGTTTCTTTCTAAGCCAGTTTCAGACCAAGGACCACCTACATATAGCCCCTTCCCCCCCCCCCCCCACCCCCGACAGTTGTGTCTACAAGTATACGCTACCATATCTGCCTTTGGATTGAGCTGGAAGTCTTGCTACTTTTTTTCTTATTGACCTTGAAGTATCATTTCTTCCTCTGGAGGAGCTGGGACTACAGGGAGTAAATTATGCTAGGCATGATTAGACACAATAATATCCACAACTGCTTTTGTTTTTTCAATGACCCCTGTTCAGCTGAAAAATATGATATGGTCTTACACTCAAGGCCTAGGTGCTGTCCCTTAGTTTATTCAGTTAGGTCTATTGCTCCACGTGAGCCACAGTTCTACTTTTCACTGCTTTAATGGAGATGAGTCTCCAAGCCTGGTTCTGTCTTTGAACCACACTCCTCAGATCTTACCTTCTTGAATAACTAAGATTACAGATAGGAGCCACCAGCTTCCAGAATAATAGGTAAGTTTGCAAGCATATATTCATCCTGTGTGTCAAGGCTACATGCTATCCTTCTGTTATTTACCTAGCGGCCACCTTGGTAAACAGGTCCTGATGGCATCCCAGAGCCTGTGCCTAAGTACTCCTATTGTACCTAATAATGCCCCCAACGTTCATGAGTTGTGATGCTGGCCCTCTGTGTGTACCTCCTTAATGTAAGAAATGGAAAGTGGTCAATGTCATGGGTTGCCAAGATCTGTAGTAAGAATGGATCCTTTATCTGTACATCTTGAAGGACATTCATATGAGCCTTGCTGTTGCTCCTTAGACTGCAAAACTTGCTGGCCTGGCTAGTGTGTTATATGCTTCATTAAGTTAGAGGTGGATGTGTAAGGAAATAGAGAAACGACCCATAATGCCAGGCACAGACACGGAGCGCACAGCCTGATTCCACTCACAAATCCAGGCACAGACATGGTGCGCACAGCCTGATTCGACCCAGAGTTCCAGGCACAGTTATGGCACAGAAGTGCATAGTCTGATGCTTCCCACAACTCCAGGCACACACAGTCCAGGGCACACGGTCTTATCTTACCTCAATTCCAGGGATTCACTGGAGCATTAGAAATACTTCCCTTAGAGTGAAACCTGTAAGTGTTTGCCCCACTGGTTCATCTAAAGATGCTAGCTTTTAAAACTAAAGGCTAGCTGAGCAACTCTCACTATCTAGTTTTATGCAATACTTACACACTGTCACCCTGCATCGGTGGCCATGCTTGCAGGAGCAAAATCAAATGCTGAAACTCGACCTCATGGTGACTAGCTTCCAGGAGTTCGACGAACAGAGAGTAGCGGTTCTCCTCAGTCTCTACGTCAGCCATGTCCACCTACAAGAACCCAGATTTTATATTTCTTTTTGTTCTGATGGTACTGGGGTTTAGCCTCAGGGCGTTGTGCTCGCCAGAAAGGTGCTCTGCCAGGTCAACCCCTCAGCCCTTTTTCAGTTAGGGCTTTGTGTTTTTGCTTGAGGCTAGCCTCAGACAGTAAGCCTCCTATCTCTACCTCCCAGGTAGCTGGGATTTGTAGACATGAGCTAGCCTACATTTGATGATTCTGATTAAACCTTCTTTTCAAAGTTTTTGTAAAGTGCTAAAGAAAAACAAAAATCCAATATCAAAAAATCAAAGCCAAAGCCAAACAACCTGCTATGGTTTTGATATTGTCACCCACAGGCTCCTGGGTTGGGAGGTTGGTCCTTGGTGTAGCAGGGTTAGAGATGGGGCCTAGTAGGTCTATGGTCTTGCAAGGGACCGTGGGACCCCAGTTTCTCTGATTTCTACTGGTGGTGTGATAACTACTTTAATACATTCTCATGAAGTTCCTCATCAGAACTGAAGTATAAGCTGAACAAACCTATTTTCTTTATAAAGTTATCCTGTTTTAGGTATTTCATTATAGTAAAGAAAAACGAAAAGCTCTATGTCCAACTCAGTTCTGAAGAAGCATTAAAGATAGTTTAGAACTACAAAATTCCACAAGGTTTTTAACTCCATCAAAATAAATTCAATAAGTAAATTTCCATATAACTGGCTTAGTAGCATTTAACATATTTAATGTTAAAATGCTTTGTTTCTAGATGTAAAAACTGTTAAACTTCAACATCCTTAATATTATATAAATTTTTTAAAAGTTTAAATTATCCACTTTCTGTGGGCCTGTGCTGAGTAGACAGTTTCTTGTGAGATTTCACTAAACTACTTTTAGCAGATGCTTTCGTGATAAATCAGAAAGAGCAAAATATCCTTTGTCTACATCTCCATTTCTAATGTAAAAGAAGACTGCCACATACAAAACGCACACATTTTCCCTCTCACTGTGTAAGTGAAGATTTCTCTTCTCATTGTGAAGATTTCTCTTCATACTAAGGCACTTCTAAAACAAATCACACCTCTAGTGTTTTTGAGGGAGAACACATTTCCTATTTTAAATCAAAAGTAGCCTTCAGTGTAAAAGTCAGGCGAACCCAGCACTGCCCTTTCTGTGGTCTATCTGGGCACACGAGCACCATGCCAGTGAATTCATAATGTGTGTTCACACAGATACCCTGAGAGCATGAGAGTAAACGCGACCTCCCCTTTCCCAACTGTCTGCACTAACACGTGTTTCCAAAACATTCAATTAAATGGTCATTTGACTGTGATCCTGAGGAGTCATCGGAGAAAGGCACACAATGATTTCTCCGTTTTCATGAATGCTCAGGAGCACTATGATTCTCTTGGTGACTACTATGGCAAGTCAGATTACAGAGCCTGTGCTGAGCCCCCATCATCTTCTTGTGGCTGTTCACCCAGGAGCATTTTACAGGATTTGAAATCGTTTCCTAACCCAGCAAGTCAGCTGACCTCGCTGTACAGATGCAGAACTGGTAACAGGGCTCCGTGTGACAGAGCCCAAGTATAATCTTCTCTGTGTGCTGTGAAGCCAGAGGGCTCCAAAGAATTGATATGCTTTCGGCTATTTAATTTGGTCTTCTAACTAGGAAGCTGGCAATACTGTCTTGTCTATTATAACGAAAGATTTGGTGAATAGAATTAAGTTACTTTCTTCTGCTCCAGCTCCCTACAGGAATGAGAGCAGACATAACTCCTCGCCCAAAGTCCTGGCCCTGGCACCAGAAGGGTGTGACAAGAATAATAAGGCCAGAAGTAGAACCTTTGTGACTCATCTCAGCCGGGTCCCCTGGACTTGTAGCTGAATCTACATGGGTGTGTCTCATCCTTTCTATAAACTAAAATACTGCTATGGTGGAGGTGGAGACAGGCAGACAATGATTTGACCAAACCTGTAATAAATGGTTTCATTTAATATGATTTAGGCTATCTTTTTCTCTTCAAGTAGGCTCGGAGCCAGGCCCCTTGGCTGAGGGCACAGTGACAAGGGGAGTCACATCCATAGTCACGTGACTGGAAGGATTAAATGAGCAACAGCTCCATGCCGTGTCTCAGTAATGGCTACACTCCTACTCTTTATACTGCTGGCTATCAAGATCTGTTCTTGCTTCCTCAATACTGAACCTTTTCTGAAACTATTATGTGCATTTGGGTGGAACAGCAAGGACTTTAGTTCTGCTTCTCCAGGAAAAGCATGAGGGATATGGCTTATCTCTCCTGCTTCAAGCAAAGCGAGAGGTATCAAGATTGCTGAGGGGCTGGGAAGGTGGCTCAGTGGTACAGCGCTTGCCTTACATGCATGAGGCCCTGGGTTTGCTTGCTCAGCACCACATAAGCAGAAAAAAAAGCCAGAAGTGGTGCTATGGCTCAAGTGGTAGAGTGCTAGCCTTGAACTCTGGGTCAGAGTTCAAGCCCAGAGTTCAAGCACCATGACCGACAAAAAAGAAACCCTGCGACGGAGTTTCTAGTGTCTCAGTCTTGAATGTGCGTGAACTCCCCGGTGTCAATGCCTATGAAAAAGGGGAGGAGAGCCTCCCTCCACGCTTTGTAACGGAATCTTTGAGTAAGAACCTGGAGTTGATTCTTTGTCAAGAGATTTTATCCTTCAGATAAGCTAACAAGATAGCCTGCCTAGCTCTCCCCAGTTTAATAGATTTTGGCAGAAGACAAGAGTCCCCGGGTTAGAGACAAAGGCCTGTATTGCCGGTGGCAATGCCAAGAGCCAGAGCCCCAGCCTTTCCCTGTGCTGCTTTCCCAATGCTGTCCCCCAGGTGGTGCGACGCAGGTGCAGTCACGTGAAGAGGAACAGCTCAGAGACTGTCAATCTCTGAACAGTACTGCTATACACACGCACTTTTCTGCAGAGGAACTGATACCTCTATCTTCCATTTGTCTTCTACACCAGTAATCCTGAAAAGAGCATGCTCATGAAATGTACAGAATTGGAGAGATCCAGAACTATCTCCTAATAGCTTTCTTAGTGTGTGCCAATACTGGGGCTTGAACTGAAGGCCTCAATCTCTCGCTTGGCTTTTTCACTCAAGGCTGGTGCTCTAACATGTGAGCTATACCATTTCTAGCTTTTTACTGGTTAACTGGAGATAAAGAGTCTCTCAGATTTGTCTGCCTGGGATGGCTTTGAAGTGAACTGCTCAAATCTTCTCCTCCTGTGTAGCTAGGCTTACAAGTGTGAGCCACCAGCAGGCAATTCCTAATAGCTCTTCAATAGGTTTATAATCATCCTTTTGGAAAAAGACCATCTTAGTGTAGTTAAACTTTTCTCTTTAGAAAATATATATTTCTAGATTTAGATTTTTAAATGACAAAATACTAATATATTTTCCTGGTTTTCTTTTCTTTTCTTTGTCTTAACTAAGGGCAGGCGCTTTACCACTTAAGCCTTGCCCACAGCTCTTTATGTCATTTAAATTATTTTTCAGATGATCTTGTTTTTGCCCAGACTGCAATTCTACCTACCATCTCCCGTCTAGCTGGGATTATAGGTGCACACCACCAGACCTGGTTTGTTAGCTGAGATGGGGGTATTGCTAACTTTCTGCCTATATTAGCCTTAAACTATGATCGTCCTGACCTACACTTCTCAAGTAGATGGAATTACAGCTGTGAGCCACCATACTCAGCAAAGCTTTTATTAAACTCTTAGCTCTTCTGCTGCTGCTGCTACTTCTTCTTCTTCACCTCCTCCTCATTATTATTATTATTTTTTACTGTGACAATACCATACAGAGGGGTTACAATTACATGGGTAAGATAATGAGTACATTTCTTATCAAGCATTGTTGCCTCCTCCTTATTTTTTGTTTGTTTTTTTATTGTCAAGGTGATGTATAGAGGGGTTACAGTTACATAAGTAAGGTACATTTCTTTTCAAAGCTGTTACCCCTTCCCCGACCTTCCCTCCCCCAGGTTGTACAGATTATTTCCAAAATATTGTCTTGTGTATGTCGCTGTTGCATTGGCTCCCGCCCTGTCCTTGGTCTCACCTTCCTGTTGTTCCCCTTCTCTTCCCTAATTCAAATAAACGTATATACAATACCAGGGCACCAAAAGCAAATACAGTGACGACAAGGGATATACCATAGGGGGAAGAACATACAAAAGGAACAAAAAAAATCACATGGTACATTAACAACAACATTATTATTAGTGGTAATATAGTTTAAACTTAAGAGTCTCACATTGCTAGACAGGTACCACTTGAGAAGAGTCTGCAGTCCTACCTACATTTTCTTTTACTTTGTTGCTTTTATCAGTTAACAAGAAAATAATACATTCCATTTAGGGGTAGGAATAAAGGAGTTTGATTTAACCTTACTAGGCAGGCTCTTAACTATGTGAAGCATACCTCCGGCTCTCATCATTTTTGAGATAGTTTCCACTTTCCCAGGGCTGGCCTGGACCACCATCCTATTTATACTTCCCTCCATAGGTAGGACGGCAGAGGCATACAACTACAACCAGCCTTTTTTTTTTTTTTGGTTAAGTTCTTGTAATTTTTTTAAACCTGGGGGGGGTCTAGAATTACAGTACTCCCCTGCTCTTAGTCTCCTGTCTCGCTGGCATGCCCAGCTGCTGACTGAACTTTTTATCCAAGTTGGCCTTAAACCACCTACTTCTCAATCTCTACCTCCCAATCTATCTAGGATTAGTGGCATGAGACACTGGTGCCTGGCTTCTACCTTTGCCCCAGCAAGCATCAAAATCCTGGAGGAGAAAATCTGCAGTATTCTACAGGTACCTGTAGAGTTAGTAACTATTCCTTACTGACACTAACTAAATATCATAAAAATTTAAAGGACAAAATGCAATTGTGTCTCAGACAAAGAGGTATCTGTTTCCTTTTATCTCTCCCAGCATGTTTCTCTCCTCATTGAATTAGGTGACTTTAGCCTTGGTTGTAAGCCCATTTGTCAAGCAACTACAGTCTCCTTATCAGACACAAACTCATGTCCTTGAAAAGAGTAGAGTAAGTCATCTCATCTCAGTTGAAGAGTTTTTACCTTAAATTTGTCTTTGGTGAGGAAGGGAAGTCCAAATACCTAGAATTGAGCCAGCACTCATATGAACCAAACCGACACTCCTGGCCCAGATAATAGCTACTGTATCTTCCAATATTTACAGATGTAGAATAGGTATTAATGCATATAAAAGTACTTTATGAATAGAAATTTACTACAAACCCGCAGACTGTTCTATTACTTGTAGTGGTCATATTAACCATCACACTGTTATTTCCCTTAAGACCTGGTGAGCTTTCAGCTGGCTTCTCAGAGATAAGGAAGGGTACTTGATTTAAGATGCAAAATAACTATGCCTTGCTTTCATAAACACAGTACTGGATTGCAATTCCAATTCTATCACCTTCAAGCTGGGCCACTTGAGTTAGTCATGTGACCTCATATAGAACAGTTGAGAAAGAATGACAACCACCCAGCAGGTTTTGCTATGCACATAGTAACAATCCCACAAGCCTCTTTCTGAGGGCAGTTATGAGAAGGGAGCTCTCTAAGGAAAAAGAGCTCCTTTTCATTAAGGTAGACTCAGATCTCCAGATACCAGCAGGACCAGTTACTATACATGCTCACTCAACTCTCATCATCTTGGGAAAAAAGGGACACAGAGCTCTTCCCTAACAGCTGCGATCTCTTGCTTATATAGGGACAAACATGCTTTGTGGCTTCTCTGCTGCCATGCGAGAAGCAAGAGGCTGAAAGGAAAGCGCTGTCAGTGAAGTGTGGCAAACCAAGCAAACGCTATCAGTCCAAAAGCATCAGACCACACTAAAGACATCTTCCATCAGCGCAAGCAAATCACATTGCTTGCTATAGGAGGAAGTGGCGCGGTCTAATCCTTCATTACTAGTGACAGGACCATCACGCTGAAAGTCGGGAGGCCGGCCTTGCCATTTTAAGGGTGACTTTGGACAAGTTTTTAAAGATTTAGTATTCATTTATTCAAAAAAATATTTATTGAATGTCTGTGAGATCACTATTCTCATGGAATTTATATTCTAATAGCAGAAGACAGGCATGATATAATAAATAAAGGACAGGCAGGAAGAAGTCAGCAGATTGTGGGAAATAGTTTATTGGGAATTAAGACAGTGATAAAATAGATTTTGACTGAATGTTAATTTAGACTGTGTAGTCATTTTAGACAAGGTGACATTTAAGCCAAAATCTGACTAAGTAACTTCTCATTGCTGGACATCAATACCCTTGTCTGTACGAGATGACGAGTGAGCTGGGAAGCTTCTGTAAGTGTCCTCTAGCTCTAGACCACATCTGTTAGTTGCTGGCTGCAGGAGATCATCAACCTGCACCCTGCATTTGTCTGTGAATCTTGGCTTTAAAGCCATTTAAGGCAACACTAAGCTATTCTGAAGGAACTAAATACAGCTTTGCAAATGGAACTTCTGTTATGTTTTTGAGCTCCACATGACCAAGAAATACATCTTTTGTTAATATTTTAGCAGATAAACCAACTGGCTTCTGAGCAGTGGGGTTAATATAACCTCACATTGTTCAGATTAGGCAGAACACATGACTTTTTCATGAAAGTAGATGTTGTCTTACACTAATTCTTTCTGATGATTACTTATCAGACTTGAAAATTCAAACAGAAAAGAAAGGCCTATGCCATACATTTTCTTTTACAAAAAAATGGGGGAAAGGATTGAGGTACTGAAGTATGAAAGTTTTTTAAGGAAACATCAGCACTTTGACCCAAATTTTTCATGCACCAGTTAACTAGAAAATTACAAAAGTTGGAAAAGTCAGATAGACTGTACCAAGGGGATTAATAACAATGCCTTTGCTCCCCTCTCCCCCCACTCATTCCCTCTTCATTTTCTCACTTGTGCTAGGCTACATTGCTGAAATGGAAATAAAAGTTTCTCCAACTGTTGGAAAATGAAGGTCTCTGAATTTTTAATTCTGTTAACTAATCATTAAAAACTGGTAACACAGCCTCTCTGAGAAGCAGCGAGGAGCAGGCACCACAGACGGTCTTTAATTTCACAGGAGCTGGCTACCTGCCCAGAAGCACCGTGATTTGTGGGGCCCTACTTTGGGCACCTAGAGGATAATTAAATATTAAGCCTTTCTTTGATGTATGCTAAGTCTGCCTAAGAGGATTATGAGCCACAGTGCAGGTAGCAGTCACACAGTTTTTGGTAATTGAACATCGAAATATCATCTACTCTCATCTTTAGTCCCAAAGAATCTGTCTCTATCCTTGGTAATAACCAAAGGACCTATAAGAATGAAGAAGGTGACAGGGATATAGAGATGGAGAATAAAGTCAGTATGTGTGCAGAGAAATGGCAGATGATGTGCGTGGACCATTCCTCCATAGTTCAAGGTTTTTTCTTTATCAAGTTGCCAAGGCCCACTTAGTAAGAATCTTCCACAAGATCTCAGATCTACTAATAGAGGAGCCACACACACACACACACACACACACACACACACACACACACACACACGTGTCAACCAACAGTACCTTGAGCTTTCTACTGCTTTAGAAAAAGAAAGCATATGCTTTGAAAAACATTAAGGGACAATTTGAACCATGGGTATAGTTCTGTATCATTCTAAAAGTTGTGGTGGTGTCATTCTGAAACTTCAGTTTTTCTGCATTCATTTTCTAAAGAGCAAGAAGACACTTCAATTATAAGACAAAATTCCTCCTCAACTTAACTTATTCTCCTAATACATCTGAATCAGCAGTACCAACCAGATGACAAACACCTCATTTACAAGAGGGAGAAGCACTCACTGACACATTTCTTGTGAAAGAGAACAGAAACACAATGAAGATGGTATGGGAGCTTTCTTCATCTCTACTGCCATAAGCTGCCAATAAGATGAAAGTAGAGGGAGAAAAATGGGTGAAAGAGGACATGGGGCAACTTTTACTAGTCATTCTGAGACCTGTGGGAGAGAGAGTTCCCAAGAGGGCCCGAGCATTTGCTTCACAACTGAGACGGTATTAGTGAATGAAGTTACAAAGAGACTTTGCAAATGAGAATATGGTTTACACTCATAACACTCATGTCAAGTTCATTCAAGAGCCTGGTTAGAAACAAGCTCAGCTGCCTCTGTCCTTTATGGGAGAAAGTTATAAAGAAATGAGTATCTCAGAAATATCCTAAGTCAATTAAGCTACTGCAATTATAAAACAGCCATAATTTGTTATTTGAGTAACTAGAACACTGAGAAGAACTTAAAAACAAAAGATAGTGGCAACCCGTGAGTTTTGAAGAGTTTGGGCTGGAATATGAAAGTGTACCTTCTATTTCAAGGTGACAGTCAAGAGGGCCATTCCGCCTTTGCAGCACCCACTCTGGTTTTATAAGTGTCAACGATCTAACAGTACGAGGAAGGGACAGAGCTGCAGAGAAGTTTGTTCCCTTCAGGATGAGGAGCACTGGGAGTTTCACATGGCAATAATACTGTGACCTGATCCAAGGTACCTCTCCCTCCCCCTGCAAGGGACTTCTCCTGTGAGGAAGGCACATCAGCACTCACTGCAGCGTCACAGCCAGACTTCCAGAAAATGCTTTAGCAAATGAGATTCTCTGAGAAGTCTTGGTTTCTAACTTTCACTGACAGGATGGCATACAAAGCACTGGACTCCTGCCTGGATTCTATGTCCTTAGCATGTATCAGCTTACAATGTAAGCCAGACTTCAACAGCCACCACATTCCTTAGTTCTAGAATTAACATTCTTATTGACTCAATCAACAAGTATTTAAGCTTGCACATGTGCACCGATATGCCAAGAGGGACTCAAAAGGTAAGTGCATCTCCAGGGCCTTTAATTTTTATAGGAAGGCAAAACTTTAAAAAAGATAATAGATAATTAAAACGCAGTTATATAGAATTCAAAGATCAGTTATGCTTGCAGTCATCAGGGCAAGTCTAGACAGAAGGGTGAGCCTTGAAGAATGACACGTAGAAATAGATTTATGCCTCTGCTCTTACATCCATAAAGGAGCAGGACAGAGAAGGGCATTTAGCACAAGGGCAGAGCATGGAAAGAAATGAATCCACTACACTGCACCTGCATTTCCATTCAGATCCACACTTCACCTGGAAAGGGTGAGCCACAGGAACAACAGACATTGTGAAGAGTACCATCTCCTATGAGGACAGATGATTAACTCATGTTGGTGAGTGAACCATGTTCTGGCATGTAGAGTCATGTTCAAATATATTTTTAAAAAATGAAAGCTGGAGTGACGAGCCTGTTGGAGAGTTTGCATTTTCAAGCTGATCACGCGCTTGGTTTCTAGTAAGCAAGAGCTGCCCTCCAATAATAGCTTACCTGCCTCTGGGGCCAAGCAGCTTTGAGAATGGCTTCTGTCCTGAAGAACACCAGGAGCTTGCCATCCTCCTCACTCAGGTGGAAGGACTGCCCCAGAATCTGCAGCACATGAATGCGGGGCCGCACAGGCCAGGCTTCATCAGCACAGAAAGGCCGCAGCCACTCCAGCAGGTCCTCAGAAGACACCAGCTCCTCTCTGCGGGGCAAAATCAAGTGGTAAAGAGCAACGGTGAGGTTTTCTTTTGTCTTTCCCCACTAATCTAATGTGGTCACCAACCTAAATACTTGTTTGCTGGATAATTTTATCCTTATCCTCTTGAGAGGAAAAATTTAGTTTTATAAATGGCTTACAGCCAACCATATTAAATATTTTAGAACTATGTAATATAAATGTAGTTTTAAATAGTATCCCATTAAAATGAGCTACATAAAGCAGATAAAAGTAACCATTAACCAAAATGTCCTTAGCTAGTTTATTTCTTATACAAAATTTAGTAAGTAGTAAGCCTTATTTCTATAAATCATACTAATAGTGTCCAGTACCATTCTAGAATGTTCTAAATTCTATAACTAGTGGACAATAACTATGTAAAGTAGACACCATAAATTACACTTTGTAGGTAAGAAAGAAAACAGGCTTTTGGGAAGCAGATAATCTGCCTACAAATACATGTGGCAGACAATACGGGATGAGTCGTACCATTCCACAACTCTCCACTATGACCAGAATCTATATAGAGATATAGATTTATGTAACATATATTTTTATTTTGATTATAAAGGTGATATATAGAGAGGTTACAGTTACATAGGTCAGGTAATAAGTTCTTTTCTTTTTGAACTGTGTCACCTCTTTCCATTTTTTCCCAATTTTTCCCCTCCTAAAACACCCCCTCTAAGTTGTATAGTTCATTTTCAACATAGTGTCTAGCATGTATCATTGCTGAATTGGTTCACCTTTTGTCCCCTATATCTGTGCATTCCCCTTAGACTCTTCAAAACAGATAAACTTACACACAAGACACAAAGTACAGAAATCAAAACTAGCAGCAAAAGGGGAAAAGCAAAACTAAAACAAAACAAACATTACAAAAAGTAAAATAAAAAATGCTCTTGTTTCCATTTCTTGGGAGGTCATTTCAATAAATATCATAGCTATTGAGCCTTTGTGAAACTAAGAACATCCTCCTTTGGTCTCACTGTGTGAATGTTGAGTCCTATTTAATATCATGTCCCTGTGTATTTTTTTGTCTTTTATCATCCATTATGTTTACTTGTAGATTTATGGGCACATTCTAATTACTACAAATGAGGGAAACCATGCAACCTATGTTTCTTTGGGTCTGGCTTACTTCACTTAATGTAATTTTTTTCTCCAAGACTTTACATTTCCTTATGAGTGGAGCAATATTATTCTTTCTGATGGATGAGTAGAATTCCATTGGATATACAATACACCATATTTTCTTGATCCATTCATCCACTGAGAGGCATCTGGGCTGATTCCATACATTGGCTATGGTAAACAATGCTGCAATGAACATGGTTGTGCTGGATCTGTGCTTTGTATATATGTATGTATGTATGTATGTATATATATATATATATATATATATATATATCTGTGCTTTGATATGCTTGGCTATTATAGTATTAAGTCTAAAAGGATCCAGAGAAAAGAACATTTTGCACAACTTTCTATCTGGTATTAAAATGTCTTCTCTTGTAACTCCAAGTGGGCCATCCAGGGAAGACGACTTACTTGATTATGATGTCAATGAATTAATATCAACCATTTTGTTAAGAGTTTACTAGTACAGAAGACAGCATCTCACAAGGGTCCAGGGATCCATGCTGAAGTACCAAATTATAAACATGATATTGTAACTAGATCCTTATAAGCCTCTCATTAAGAAGTAAATCATATAAAATGGATCTAAGACTAACCTACATTAAGCCAAATTCCTGCCTTAACAAGACTATAACACATTTCTTTTTTTTCTTTTTTTTGTGTCAGTCATAGGGCTTGAACTCAGGGCCTGTATTGTCCCTGAGCTTTTTCACTCAAGACTATTCTCTACTATTATGAGCCATAATGCCACCTCCCATTTTCTAGGGGTTAATTGGAGATAAGAGTCTCACAGACTTTGCTGCCCAGGCTGGCATTGAACTGCGATCCTCAGATCTCCACTTCTAGAATATCTAGGATTACAGGCATGAGCCACTGGTGCCCCCACTTAATTATTTCTTAAGCCTCTGGAGAAAGAATTTTACTGTATGTATGTGTGTATATATATATATATGTGTGTGTATATATATATATATATATATTTGTTATATTTAGGAATAAAGGAAATTACAAAATGCTGTGGACAACTGCCTTAAATGCTTCTAAGAGTTTATTAATTCATTTGTTACTTTTACCAATGACAATCCTTCCAAATACGGGTAGGAAAATAATGCATACCCATAAGCACTAAGAATGCACTAATATTTCCTACTAGTAAATATATCCACTACTTGTAAAATGATGTTACAGAAAGATCATTAAAAAAACCCTAAGTACAAACTTATGATTTTGATCCCAGTCTTTCCTAAAACTCTAAACCAAAACCATGAATGCCATTATTACTGTTTAGTCAAGTACACAAAGGTCCCAAAGAACTTGGTCCTAGACCCTAGCTTAGAGTGTGACACAAAGACAGTACATAAGAAATAAACCATAATTCACAATCATCTCCATAATAATTATTAATATCAGCATCATCAAAACACTATAATTTGTGCCTGATGACAGGAATAAAAAAATTACATGGTCTCTGCGTTTAAAGAACTAGTAATACAAAGGAACAGAAAGACTTAAAAAGTGATTATTGTGGGGTGCCAGTTCTCATTGCCTGTAATCCTATCTACTTAAGAGGCTGAGATGTGAGGATCACAGTTCAAAGCCAGCCAAGGTAGAAAAGTCTGTGATACTCATATCCAATTAACCACCAAAAAGCCAGAAGTAGAGCTATGGCTCAAATGGTAGAACACTAGCCTTTACTGCTAAGGGATAGCACCCAGATCCTGATTTCAAACCCCAGGATTGGCATGTGTGTGCATGCACGTGCACAGACACACACACACACACACACACACACACACACACACATGCATGCACACACACACACACACAGAGCAATTATTACCCAAGTTATTAATATACCGTACATTAAACAACTGTTTTAGAAGAGGCACAGCATTATCTAGACAGTATCATAAGATAAGCTGGATGTTCCTGAATTGAAGGAAAGATTTACAAAAAAAAATCTATAACCAGCTCTAAAAAACAAACAAACAAACAAAAAGAGGCCCAAAATGACCAGAGAAAGACTGAAACCCAGATGTGTCCATGACAGAGAGAGATCTGCAGCAGGCAGATTCTAAAGATTTTGAGCTTCTGGGCCCACACTACTTCCTGACAATGTCACTTGGAACAAGAAGTCACTAAACAATTCTGAGTCTCACTTTCTTTGATAGCAGAGATGGGTGACATGGCCAGCCTCCCATGGCTGCTTCGGATTAACAGAAACACAAAATATGAAATATAAAGCACAAAATAATTTTGGCAGATAACTAAGCACAAAATAGGTTTGGCAGATTACTACGCACTTCAATCAGTGATAACTATTATTACTGAGGACGTCTCTTTTGGAGGGGTATGAGATGGGAACGATGGAGTGTTTTTGGGCTGTGAAGCATTAAAATCTCATTAACTAGTGGAGAAAATGTGCAGGCTGGGATGGACACAGGCCTCTGCAGTGGAGCTGTTGCTGTCCAAGTACGAATCAGGAGAATAGAAGCTAAAAGCCCATTTTTGGCCATTAGTCCAGGCTAATTTAATCTAAAGCTGATTTTTTTTTAACCCTCCTCCCTAAGAATCCAGGGCTGGGGTACAAGAGGGATGAAGTGTAATGAGAAAAAGCTGGAGTCAATGAAAACCACCTGGAGTGATTTAATACCCTGTGCACAGTCACACAGAAAGCAATGGAACCTGTCTCACTCCCTTGGCAAGGACTCTATAATGCTATCAAATCAACTTGGGACATATTCCAGAACATCTTGGCAATGGGTAAAATTATTCAGTTACTGATGAGATACAGAAAGATTATTATAACATTTTGCAAGTTATTAAACTGATTTAGACTCCTTTTATTCCTACAGTTTATTATACAGTTAATACTATTTGGCATTTTGGAGGGACATGTTCTAATTTCTAGTTTCTACTTCAAGTACATAATAATATTATAGAATTCATTCCTAAAACAAAAGCACTGTGCCTAGAAGTACCATGTTAGACAAGCCTTGGGGTGTCATCTGAACGTCAGAGCTCAGTAACTATACAGAATCAAAGGCCAGGCGCTGCTATCTCATGGGGCTAGTTCAAAGCCAGCTCAGGCAGGAAAATCCATGAGACTCTTATCTCCAATTAAAAACCAAAACAGTAGGAGGTAGAACTAGCTTAGGTGGTAGAGAACTACTCTTGAATAAAAAAGCTCAGGGACGGCACCGAGGCCCTGAGTTCAAGCCTTAGGACCAGCACAAAAGGAAAAAGAAAACATCACCACGGACATGGACCAGAGTGTACCCACAAGCCAAGATCCTTTCTTGCTAATTTCAGCTTGCATTTTCTGAGGCTCAAAGTCATTCTTATAGCCCGACAAGGATACACAGAGACAGAAGGGCAAGGGGAGAGAGCACAGAGCGCAGAGGGCAGAGGGCAGAGGGCAGAGGGCAGGGAGACTACAGTGATAAGATGCCAATTACTGGAAAAACAAAGAAGAAAAGCATGTCAGTATCCAATCTTTGCTGTGGGTTTGAAATTTTTATAGATAAGGAGATGGGTGGGAGATAACAAGACTTTCATAGTATAAAATTCCAGAATGGGAAGAAGGAAGGTGATTCTACTTCTGTGATATTTAATGAAGGCAAGGAGAAGGTTTGCTGAGCTTAGGAATGAATGAGAGGATCATTTCAAAACACATTTACTTCATTATAAAAGTCACACAAATGATTAGTAAGTGTTATTAAATTTAAAAAAGGAGAATCTCCATAGTTTCATTATAATCCAATAAGCAACTGTGTCTACGTTTTCTCTGTAATGAGGACAGGGGCAGATTATACTGTAAAGAGCAATCAAATTCACTACTTTAA